GGAAATGTTGACATTCTGTGTAGACAACATTCATCCAACTAAAGTCTGATATACACCAACAAGAGGAAGGCTTGACTATGGGTTTACCATTTTCACCAGTGATGGCAAACATATACATGGAATACTTTGAGGAAATGGCTTCAGAAACAGCACCACTAAAGCCAACAGTATGATTGAGATACATAGATGACAACTTCATACTCTGGATGCACTAAATACTGCTGGACGATGTAAACTCAATAAGACCTTTGATACAGTTCACAAGAGAACATAATAATCAGTTAGCCTTCATGGATGCACTAATAACTCTCACAGAAAATTAGTTCAATAAATTTGTATATCACAAGCCAAACTTCACTAGACAATACCTCAACTCCAATACCCACCATCCATACAGTGTGGAGAAATGGATTGTCCAATGCCCATGACAGAAAGCAAAAATCATGTGGCAACCCAGACACATGCCAACAGGAAATGATCAGCATCAAGTGTACCCTACAGAATAACTACTATTCTGCAAACATAACATTAGTGTCTGCAGATGGAAATCGAAGGGACAAAGAGGAGGATCATAAAATTGCCACAGTCTTGCCTTATGTCAAGGGATTAAGGAAAATGTGTGGTCTATGCTACATCAGGACAATATTCAGAAGCAGCTCCACTCTACATAGAAATCTCTGTTGAGTAACACAGGGGACATGACCAAGACCTCTGTGTACTTAATTCTTTGCAGTTGTGGCAAAGAATATATCAATGAAACAAGCTGCCTCCTAAAAGTAAGATTGAAGAAAAGCTCTAGTGAGGGGTGACATAATGAAATCAGGCATGGCCGATCATATATGGGGGGAAAAGGGTAGTCATCAGCCCCTGTGGAATGAAGAAAATACTGGGCAAGGAAGAACACTGGAGAGTTAGATGTCTGAAAGAATCAGCAAATATGCTAGGCTATGAAGACCTCCTTCATATGCCTAGTATAGAAATAAATATGATATGGGAGCAGCCAATAAAGAAAGAAAGACAAATGAAAGATCTTCAACAACAACTGTAATAAATGAAAAGTTTCAGTGAGTGCCGTCAAGCATGACAAGCAGCATCAGCAGCACTCATCAGCAGTCAGGTTAGGTTTAGGGCTCCAAGTGGATTATATCTATCCTTATTAAAAAATGTATAAACTGGACTTGTATATACGTTTTTACCAAGTGTTTTTTCTAACATACACAAACACATCAAAAACAACGTTCAAAAACTAGCTACAGACATGTTTATACATTGATCTTGATTCTTTTTATGCTCTTCCAAGCTTGAAACGAGTCTAATTGTCAACTCATACATTTGGTAAAGGTGTTAGCCACGGCTCAGTGACGTCAAAGTGCGTCAGGTTCTTAGTTTTCCCAAAGAAATACAAAAAATTTATCTGAAAATGAAACATTTTTCCCAAAAGGGGGTTTATAAGGGGGGTGGAGAAGGGGTTAATAATAAAGGATTATTTAGGGAGTGTCGGGTTATATTATACAGATAAATTAATTGCAATATACATTTTTAATTATCAATAAGCCCCCAAAAACAGACCATAGAAACATATTTGATTAACACAATCCCATATATCTGAGTAAATTATTATTATTATTATGCATTAGTAAGAGTTCCTGAAAATTCTTTATCCTTCATCAATCTTAATATTCATTGTCTTTGTTGGCGATAACATTACTTGCAATCATTTTTAATAACTCCCAGAGTTTTGTTGCCGTTTTCCATTCTTGTATCTCTTAATAATGCATCATTAGTTTTTTTTCTATTGGAGTCTAGTGACCACACCATTAATTTGGTTTTGTTGAAACTTATTTTGGCAATGTGGTCAATATGTAAGCTTTGCAGAATGTGAACAAACATTGTCTTGCATAAATAGACTTTTTAGCTTAGAGCTTCTTGGTTGTGAGGTGTATCAATAAAAAAAATTTTAAATGATTCTCTCCATTTCTCTTGACACTATCAAAATGTAAGCCTACTCACATCAAGCCACCAACCTCACTGTGTCAGCTCACATCGAACTACTGACCTTGCTGCAGCTGGACATCTGTTCACATCAATCCATCAACATCATTCTATTCCTATCCATCAATCTTTCAGTCTCTTAAGTCTGTCTTGGTATCTATTTTTGAATAACATTTTGCGTTTTAAATTGAAATTGCTTTAACTAACAAGTGTCTAGAAATCATCATCTGGTCAGAAAATTAGCAACATATGTGTTGCAAGTCATTCCTTTCCAAAATAACAGTCAATGAATTCAAGTGAGAGGTAAATGGCTGGCAGTGTAATATCATTTTCTGTTGTGATTTGACTGTTGTAGGTTTGTAGCTGCTTTACGTCAAAATATTTGAACTTCCTAGAAACAAATGATTCAGATAAAAGGAAAATATATTACAAAACTTGAAAAATGATCAGAGATTGCATCTGGTTAAATATCTTGTGACACACAATTGATCCTTTCAACTGAAAAAGTGAGGTGATATTGTGAGGTACTGTTAGAGTGTTCTAAGTCAGTGATAATAAACCCAAAAAACCATGGCTGACCCCAGACACTGATCTATTTGTTTACCCGCATGGTGTTCAATCTGGAACTAACTAAAAAACTTGAATGTTTGATTAACAGAATTGAATTTTTTTTTTTTAAATCAAATTCATCCCAAGCACTAAAAAAGCCACTAAAACACAAGGGGTGTGAAAGAATTAGAAAACAGAAAACATTATGAAGGATAGGAACAAAAGAAGAGTAATCAAGAAGACAGAAAATAATGACTGACATTGGATTTAAATTTTTTGAAGATCAAAGTTGGCTGAAAAGCAAGGAAGTGGAAGAGAATTCCACAAAAAAGTGTGAGAAAAGAAACTGTTAGCATAGAAATTACAGTTACATCTAGCCAATTCAACTGTAAATTCATGAGAACTTGTTGCTAATCTAGTACTGCACTTAACTTCATAAAGTTTAGGTACTGTAGCAAAGAGCTCATCGAAACAATTACCAGAAAAGGCACAAGGATGCAACTTTACAGCAATAGGAAAGTGACTGAAGCCAAGACCAATAATATTGCTGATTATCTCCAAATAAATAGCAGAAGTACCGGACTAAATGGGCAAATGGTAGAGTTATAGATATGCAAAATAGATTCTGAAGATAAATTCATTTTATTAATATTGGAAATGAAATGATAATGGTTTTGAGAATACTGCGACATTTACAATCCATAGCCTGTGGAGCACCCATGCGCCAGACAAACACTTTCAAATAGTTTGGTACAGTTTTCGACAGTGGTGTGAAGAAGGAAACAATAACAATAAACATCTACAGCAGTAATATTGGAATGCTGTACCCGTGACTGAAAGACAAGAACATGCCACATAAAGTACAGATTACCATCTACAAGACCAAATTGTGACCATTTGGCCTATTTGAATACAAATGTTGGACACTGACAGTACCTGCCAAGAGTCGTGTCCAGGCAGCTGAGGTGTGTTCTTTCACTTGATTAAAGGTCAGTGGGTCGTCCCAGGAAAAGATGGATTCAGAACTTCATAGAAGCTGCAGAGCAATAAGGGTTCCCTATACCAGACATCGATGGTGCAAAGCTGTTTATGGACAGACAGGTTACAATACCTACCTAGAGTTGGGCAAGATGAGTGGGATGAAGTGAATATTGGAAATCACTGACTTTCTTATTTAAATGTGCTTCAGAATTACTTACATATTTCATTTTAAAACCGTTGGATATATTAGGTAGTCAAATGACAAAGTGGAAAATTTCTATATAATGTGCTTCGTCCTAGGACTTCATCAGACTAAAGTAATGTTCTAGGGAATTACATATATGTAAGGAGGAGGGTTAGATATAAATGCAACATGTGTTATAACTATGTACTAAAGAGAGATGCAAAAGATGAAGGAAACACTAAATTTAAATTTTCAAATTTCTGCCATTTGATGCGTCTAGACACACAATTCAGACGATCTCTCTCATTTTCTCTATGCTTTCTTAAGTGCTGTTTTTAAATATCCCATATTATGATAAAATATTAAGAAAAGCAAGATGTTGTTGGATATATTAAATAATGAACTCTACTGCAGTCTTGGATGAGCTCAACAATTCAGTTCTTAGGACTGTCCGGCAAGACCATTCACACCACACACATGGTTTGATTCCAATGGTGAAAGCTTGAGTACAATCAGCAGGAGTCCCCAGACCAGTTATTTACTTGAAGTTTGATAAAAGTGGTAGTGAAATGTTAGCTGTATTAAAAATGGCTTATAGGGAAAATTCTGTGAAGAAGTCAAGCGATTTTGAGTAGCACAGGTGAGAATAGTTGCAGGATGACATAAAAAGTGAGCAACCAAAACCTGAAAAAGAGCAAGTGTGAATATTGACAAAATGAATCATGGTGAACTCAAATCAAACATGTAGTGTGAGGTTTGATTGCAGAGGGAATGAATATGTTTAAGGAAACAATGTAACAGATTCTAACCAAAAATTTAGGGATTCAAAATATAACATATTTGAAGTTTGTGAGTTTCTGGCAAAGAAATGAAGAATTCACCTTATTCACCACATGATTTTTAACTATTTTCAAAATTGAAAAATCCCCCGACTTGCTAACATCCCAAACATCCACTAACACATGACTACATTACTGAAAGTTCCAAGAATGTTTCCAGCAATTACACCATTACCTCTTTTGCTTTTATAGGTGCTATTCATGAAATTAAAGTGTCACACTTTGTACATACAAGGAAGAGAGAGAGAGAGAGAATTGAAAAATATATGTAATTATAGATAATATATAAGTACACTGAAAGAAATTATTATTTACACAAATATTTACAAAGGAAATTAACTGTAAGCTACTTCCACCTGCCCAGATAAAATAAATAAATAAATAAAAAACAATAAAACCTTCTACACCAGAATAACAACTTCCGACCCCTAATAAATGTAGTTCATTATTTAATTTTATGATATATGAATCTTCTTTACTTTAGTCTGTCGCTCAACAGCACTGACTGTTAAGGGCCACATTCCACCAATGATACCAGCTTGAATGGACACTCCAATGGCCACTGCAAGATCTGGTTCCACCGACGTATTTGGTTCCTTATTGAAATAATCTCTAATGAGTTCTCGAATTTTTGGTATCCGTGTTGAACCACCCACCAAAACAATGTCATGGACTTCCTGCTTATCCATTTCTGTTATATTTAGAACAGTTTTGATTGGTTCCAAGACCTTACTGAAGAGGTCTGCGTTCAGATCTTCAAATGTTGTCCGTGAAACAGTTTCCTGGAAAAGTGGAGCACCTTCAAATGAACTAATAGTCATTGAAATGTTGGATGTATATTGCCTGGTCAGTTCCAATTTAACAGTTTCGACTTGAAGTCGCAATGTCTGTTTGTCTTCCTTGTTGGTCAGAGACCGCCCGAATCTCTTGTTGATAATGTCCAGAAGGTACTTGGTTAGCCGTTGGTTAAAATCTTGGCCACCCAGATGGTTATTACCTGAAATCAAAGGATTCAAAAGGTGATGTCTTGCATTTTTAAATATAAAAATCAAGGTTATACAAACAACAGAAATCATCTGGAAAATGTGAATCATTTTTGTCTTGTTTGGGGTCTCCTTATACTTATGTTAAAACTCAGGATATTTAAATATACACACAAGTATGTAAACAGATATACATTTATGCACCCATACATTATTTTACACACACACACACACACACTGTTAAGTATAACAGACTACAAATGTCTATTATGCTTTATGATGAGACTTTCTAACCATCTTATAACTGCTTTAGTTTCAAAATTTCTTTATTATATTTTGGTGGCCATTAATCTAAGCTCATCATCAGAGTGGTTATATGGACATAACACCAGAGATGTGCACCGTCAAAGAGGTCACCTTGTTTTGTTTACTGTTGAAAAAGCAAAGGATAAGTCTAACAATAGATCTGTCTAATGTTTGGACATTGGTATTAACCTACCTTACACTTGGGGACATATATAACATAAAATTATGTATATATGCATAAATGTATATCTATTTACATACTATAAACAAGCTGTTGATAAAGCTTACAAATATATCGACATTAATCCGACCAAATGAAAAGGATTTGAAATGACAAAAGAAAAGAATCCACGAATGAATAAACAAAAGACAAAAGGAAAGTTAAAAAGAAAAGAAAAAAACAGACACCTACCTAAGCAATAAGCCAACATGCTTAATACCTATAGAAAAATTGACCAAGACAGAACAGTCACACTATCTAATGAAATTCAGATCACTACACAGTATCTCACAATGCATTCATCAATAAGAACCTTTGTTTGACAATAGCACTGCATCAAATTTATGTCTGTTAGTGTGTATATATATATATATATATACACACACACACTTTAAAAATCAGGAAGTCAGTTGAATCTGCAACATTGGTTTTAAACTTATGGTACCCTCAGGCGTAAGGTTGAAACCAAGGCAACAGATTCAACTGACCTCCTGATTTTTAAAGTTAAAAGCTCTACAAGTTAATTTTATAGAGGGGACTACTTAAGTAGTACCAAAAGAAAAGTTTTTATATACAGGACAATTAAGTCTAACTCTGTAAAAAGTTAGGGATTAACTTTACACCGTATCAGGACCCCATGAAAAAAAAAAAAAAAAAAAAAAAAGGGGTCTCATTAATGCCATTGTACAAAAATGATTTCCAAAAAGATTTTTTTTTCACAGAGGGGACTACTTAAGTAGTACCAAAAAAAAGTCCAAGCATTAATTGGTGTGATGATCCCTTAAGATATGAAAATGCCAGTCACCATATAGTATTGATTTCTCTGTCCACACTGATTATATTCTTATTGATTATTGATTCATATGATTATATGTTCTATTCCCAATTAACTCTACCCACAGACAAGACCTAGAGATTTCCAGAGAAGAAAATAGTTTTCATATGCTTTTATCAATCAGGCCATGTCCATCAGAATGTGAAACCTAACAACTGCCCTTTCCAAATTATAGGCTCACTGTATAATAGCAAAAACATTTTCTCAAAAATTCAGAAAATAATTTGTAGGATTTTTATAATTTCCTCTCAATCAACCATTGTTTGTATTCACAGTTTTCTAGTAACTAACAGTGCGAAATAAAACCAAAAAAGTAAAACTTTAAGTACTAACCAGCCATTGCTAGCGTGAGGAACATGCCACCCTGTACATTGAGCAAAGATACATCTAGTGTTCCTCCTCCAAGATCAACAACAACAATATACCGAAGACTTGGAACACTATGTAAACCATAAGCCATGGCAGCAGCTGTTGGCTCATTTATAACCCGCATCACTTCTAGCCCTGAGAAGAAAGAAAAGGAAATATTATTGAAAGGTTTCATGAAGTTTTTTTTTTTTTTTTTCATTATGGCATACGGTTTTTAAACTAGTCCCCATTATTGATGTTATTAACATATTTTTGGCCAACACATTCTTTTGCAGATACATGTCGAATCCAATGTTTAAAAACAAAAAAGTCCCAAATGAAAATAGACTACCAAACACGAATTTAACTTTGAACAGAACACTTTTAATTTCAATATGCAAAATCTAGCCCCCACTACACATACCCACTTTACTTTAGTAGCACAGAATGAAAGCAAAATGAAAGACATCTTTGTTTCACAAATTCATTGGAGCAAATTCTCTCAAAATTGTTGAAAAGATTAAAAATCAAAATGTGTTTTTAAACTTCTAATGCTAATGTTCATTTAAAAAGTTATTGTAAAATCCTGAGCAATTGCAGGTATTAGGTTGGTGCAAAAATAATGACGTAATAATGTCGTTTCTTGACGTTAAAAAATACATCAAAAAACGACATCATTACGTCATTATTTTTGCACCAACCTAATAGTTCTGCTAGGAAAATAAATAATCTGTAAAAGTTACAGTAATATTTGATACATGCTTTACATAAAAAAAAAAATTTTATATAAATATGTTCTTCCACACAAAAGTAAAAATCACATTAACTTCAACTATCATCTGATAAATGAATGTTGTTAATAGATGTAAGATGAAGCATATATCGAAGTTTAGTCCTGGGTATGACGATAAATTACATCCAGCAGCAAGGCATGTTTGGAAGTTTTGTGGAGAGTGGAATCACTCTCTTAATTGCTGTTTCCAGGTTCACCCTGACCTGGAGTGGTAGCGCCTGTTAGGCTCCCAGCTATTGGCAAATAGTGAACCTCTCAAACAAAAACAAAACACTATGAAAGTAGTAAAAATATCAGCAATACATTCTTATATTTAAAACAAAAAAATTAGCAACAGTACCTATTTATAGTAAAATTAGCAGCAATACATTTTTGGAGCAAAATGAACAACCATACACTTTATAGCTAAATGATCAACAATACATTTTATCTGCAGTTGACAGCATATAATTGTGTTCAAAATATATTTAGTTGAAGTCATAAAATGTTCTAAATATTTAGATTTCGGCATTAAATAACCCACAGAGGTGTTGATATGCCGCTAAACAAAATCGACCAACCTTTATTATTTCAATCACTGCCTTTCAGTTTCAGTGTGTATAAACTTTGTAGAGCTGATTTATCTGGTCGTTTATGTTCAGTGAAAAAAAAAAAATACCAGTAATACATTTCATTTTTGAAAAAAAAAACAAAAAAAATTACCATAATATATTTGACTCTCAACAAAAATCCTCTTTGCAAATATATGTCAATGAAACTTGACCTACAATCTGATTTCTTACAAAGAATACATATTCTAGTCATAGGAACCAATCCTAAAAGTCTTGTCAGCCATTGAGGTTAATATGCTGCAAAACAAAATAAACTAAACCAACAATACATTTTATACTAAAATGACCAACAATACATTTTATACTAAAATGACCAACAATACATTTTATTTGTAGTTGAAAGCATACAACTGCACTCAAAATATATTTAGTTGAAGACATAAAATTGTGTTCAAAATATTTAGATTTCAACATTAAATAACCCATAGACGTCTTGATATACCACAAAACAAAATCAAACAAATATTGGCATTATCTGCCCTTTAGTGTTCTTTTATGTGCCATGTCTCTTCAGGATGCAGGCAATCATGGCCCTCCACATCTTCATGTACCTTAATGAGTTTGTTATTTCTCCTGAAACCTGTTCTACCATCCATTTGCTAAAGTTCATCAAGTATGTTACATGCTGCTTTCCACTGCCTATATTTCCCCTCAATCTGTCCTGTGAGTATCAGGTTTTCCAAGCCTTCCTTCCTCATTACATGCCCCTAAAATTTCAACTGCCTCTTCTTGATGTTAAGTTTCCTTTTGATTGGCATTTTCTTCAAAACATCATTCTTGCTTACATAGTTGGTTCATGGCATCCTCATCATCCTTCTGTAGAACAACATTTAGTTTTTCAACAAAAGATTTTAAAATCTCACATTTACATAGAACCCACATCAGCACATGAATTTCTGTTCCCAAATAAATAATGTCTTTATCATTGATAATATTTGATACAAAATACTTATGATAAAAGACATACAGCATAACATCAACTTCTACAGGCAGATAGAACTATCTGTCACCTTTGTGTCAAGGGATTATTGGAAAAGATTCAGAAGATCTGTGATCCATACAACATCAGGACAATATTCAAAAGCAGCTCAACCCTACAGAGAAGTCTTTGCGGTGTCAAGCCTAACACAGAGAAAAAAAATGACTGGAGTTTATTCCATTCCTTGCAGTTGCAGCAAAGAATATATGAAGTGAAACTAGGTACCTCCTAAAAGTAAAAGTGAAAGAAGATTGGAAAGCCATAATTAGGGGAACTGCATTGAAATCAGGCATGACTAATCATATATGGAAGAACTGTTGAATGAAGTAAAAAGTTTAATTCATGAAGATATTTTTTTTTTTTTACCATTAGACAATTATTTGAAATTTGTTTTGGTTGAATAAAAACACTTTTTATGATAATTTATAGAAACAAAAAAAATTTAAAAAGTCATTTGTTTTATACACACCAAGAGATGTGGCTGTCTTTTTGGTGAAATTTCGTTGTCTGTCATCAAATTCTGCTGGTACAGATATGACAACCTTTTTGGCAGGTATAGAAAGATTCTTGTTGGCAGCATCAACCAGAGTCTGAATAAGAATGCTGCCAATGTTTTCTGGTTTTATATACATCAATGAATTATTTACCCTCAAATGAAATCTTGCATTTCCTTCCTCATCAAGAGACACCTGAAAGGTGAAAAACATTGAAGCAATCAATCACCTATCATAAAACAGGAGAGTTAATCAATTTGACAGTTTCTAAATTCATTAGGCTAAACTTTAAATAGCAGAATACAATCTTGGTGAATGGTTTAAATTTTTTAGACAAACACATGCAGTATGAACATGATCACTAACAAGTACCTTAGCATATTTTGTAAAAGATTTGGGCGATCTTTAACCTTTGTGCCCACAAAAGATTTTCACTATAAAAAATTGCAAGCATAGTTTTTGTGAGTGAAGCCCACAATTAAATTTGTCAATAATAGAAATTATGGCCTTCATGTCTGGAAAAAAAAAAAAAAAAAGAAAGTGTCAAAAGGATAATTATTCACCACTTAGCTTATCTTACCTCCTTGGTAATGTTTATTTTAAAAAGTGATGATTGGAATTTTAATAAAACCTAAAACATATGAAAATGAATTTATACACTTTTTTGTTCTTGAAAATTTATGACAAAAATATTAAAAACACTATTTATTTATTAGACTGTTTGCTTTGGTTTTCAGGCACTTCCAAACAGTGCTACACACAGGGGATCTCCTCCCCCACAACAATATTATCAAGAAGTCATCAATTGTGCTATTTGAACCTGGGTTTTGTGTTCGAAACACTAACATTCAAGCCATGTGCCCAGATATAAAATCATTAATTCTCTTTTATTTATTTATTGATTTTGTAATATTTAATATCTTTTTATTATTTTTATTTTAATTAATTAAAAGTTTTAATTAATCTATATTTTTTATTAATATTTTTTATTTTAATTAATATTTTTTTTTATGTAAGTAATGTTTGTCTGTTATGGATAGGAATGTGCATGAATAAATTTAAAGTAATATCCCTGACAATTCTGCAAAACTCAGTGTTAGAAAAATGAATCTGAACATTTTATTTTACTTGTTTACTAATATATACAGTGTTTACTATATGTACAAGGTGCAATGGGTAAATTGTCGCCATTTTATATTTTTAATTCTACACGTGTGCATCTGAGAGAAAAAGGGCACCATAACAGAATTCACTCTGCCAGAAATTTGAAAATGGTATGTTGTACTGCCTGGCATTCATGCTGGAAGCTCCAATAAGAACATTTCAGTGTTTGGGTGTCAATCTGTGGACAGTGCAGAGGATTCAGAAAAAGTTGGATGAGTCTAATGGTGATTATGAAGGAGTGATCACTAGTGATGGCAATGTTATGCCTCCATTCATCTTCCCACAGTGCCTCAAACTCAACATGGAGACCTACATCAAGTGCCTTGAGGTGGTAGTGCTGCCATGGGTCAGGAGGGTGGCAGCTGGAAAACCATACATCTAGCAACAGGACTGCACCATGTCACACAAGCAGGAGAACCCAGTCATGGCTATCAAGACAATTTCTGCAACCACAACACCCCTTACATCTACTCAGACTGCAACCCCCTTGATCATTATGTGTGGGGTGCAGTTGAGCAAGAGACCAACAAAACTCCTTGCAACACTAAAGATAAACTGAAGGCAAGGATTATGGCAGCATTTACCAAACTTGTACAAGGAGAGCGTCCAGAAGTGATGCATGAGATTTCGAAATCGTCTGGTGGTTGAAGCCAATGACGATTTTATTAAATAAATTTATTCTTTAGTATTTCAAGACATTTGTGTCATTTTGGTAAATATATCTTAAAATGAGATATCTGTGTTATTTTCATTTTTGTATAATTTAAATAACAATTTCTTCATCATATCCTGTAAATATTGTGTTATATATATATATATATATATATATATATATATACACACACACACAATATTTGACAATAGATATCCCAACAAGTATTGGCATATATATATATATATATATAAGGAATATCTATTATGAAGTTACATTCACTTATGTGCTAATACCCTTGGGAAAGGTATGAATCCTCTTCTTCTCCTCCCAGCTATGGGTAAATAGCAGGACAGACAAGGTTCTATAACCTTAGATGGCAACTAGACTACCACAGAAAGAAATGGCAACCTACCGCAGGGAAAAAGCCTGTCTTGTCAGTCAGGTATCAAAAGATACATGATCGCCTAAGTGTATATCACACATGGTACATAATTGACTGATGATAATGTGAGGAAAAAATTTTATGTAACACATTTCATCCTTTAGGATTTCATCGGACTATAGTTATCTTTACATTGATGCAACTACACATGCACACAAAGGATAAATTTTAAACTTAAATTTTATTTTTTTTAAATATGCATTTGATTATATAGTTTATGGCCAATTCCATTTAGCTTCTATTTTTATCATTAAAAATAATAGATCTGTCAAGAACGGTGAAAAGCTGTAACAACCTGGACATGAATTTACAATGGATGATCAAGATATTATATATGTCTATTCAAACATGTATCCAACAAATATATTTATAGTAAAAAAAGAAATATATATACACACACACATGCATGCTGGTTCATATAAAGAAATATTATATAAAATTTATCTTACATAAATATTTATTTTTTAACAATTTCTTTCTTTGTCAAAACAATTGATTCAGTGGTATTAATCACATTGATCAAACATTATACAGTGAATACTTCAGATCAAAATTCAACTACTATCATGTCTGGTTAGGATATTCATTTTCAACTATAAAATAATTCTTAAAATAACACATTTTTGTCAATTATTTTCATTCATTATGTATGAACAGATCTTTTGATAGCAAAATAAAAAAAAAATAAAAATATATATATATATATATATATATATATATATATATATATATATACACACACATACACACACACACACACACACATACATACATACATACATACATACATACCTGAAAAGGATAAAGTTTTTCAAAAAGTTGCAAGTGTTTCCTTTGTAAAAATCTTCCCAATGAATCGTTTGCTGTCATAAATGGTATTTTTTGATTACGTTCTATTGGGCCACTGCATGATAACCCACAAGGATTCCACTTGCACTGATAAAAATAAAAAGGTTGGGCTGATTGATTTTTAATATATGAATACTTGTTGGGTTATCTATTGTCAAATTTTGTATGGTGCACCCAGTGAGGATTGAACTTACTACTAATGCCCAATTAAACTTTGTTAAACATCATTTGCCAAGGTGCCTAAATAAAATGAAAAATATTGTTTTGATGCAAGTGACTGAAGGAACAAGTTTGCATATACTAAAACATATATAGATCCTTATGGAATATCTTGGTTTTGAAATAAGGCCACAAGTGCAGTATGCACATTGTGGCTCAAACAATACTTGAGTGACTTGTTAGTCATTACACACAAACACTACACTATACATTTCATACTAAATGTTAAAAGAAAAGCTAAGATACACATGAGGAAAAAAAATTCACCTACAAATACTCTGTGTAATAGATAGCTATCTTTACACACAAACTTAACAAAATAATTGCTGATAAACTCAAAGCCAATGTAACAACAAAATTGTCCAAATCATGTTATAGCATGGGATAATTGTATCATCCCACAAAATGTTTAATATCTAAAAAACCATTAAACTAATTGAGTTTCTTTTTTCCAGGTTTTCAATAAGACGGACATCTTGACATCATTTGTAGTAAGAATCATGGAAAAACCCTTTGAGTTATTCAGCTAGAGCTGAGCAGGAGTTAACTGAACCAAAGGAGGCATAAAACTTACTAATTACTAAATCCAGCATGTGGCCCCAAACTGTTGACTTATATAATGTATATCTATATATGTCACCTGTTGAAAAAAAAGGGCAATCTGAGAACACATCATGAACAACCAAAATATAACTATCAACATAAGACAATCATGATTCACACAGAGAGCTCAATGTTTTAATCAAACAGGGCAACATATTTTATACAATAGGAATTAAGATTATATTATTCTGTTTGGCCAGTTTTATTCCAATAATTTATCATCCACTGAAAAATCCTTGTAAATTTTATTTCAATTTACAAGGTGAAAATGGTCATTAATCTAATGTAGTCTTAATTCCTATTGTATATTTTATTTTACATTATATATATATATATATATATATATATATATATATATATATATATATAAAACAAGTGAAAAAATCACTTATTTCCCAAGTACTTTCCACCTCTTTCTAAGATCATCATCAGGGATGAAACTGTTAAGGCAAAAACTATGTGTAAGCTATCCATTACTGATATTTTTCTTTTTGCATTTAAATGCAACGACTGATAGTTATGCTTTAGCATTCATTAGAATATGAAAAAATTATCCACTATTTTCATTTGAAAAACAAACATTATATATAAATATAAATTCAAATGTCCCTTGGGAGAATGTATCTCCAACAGAAAAAACAAATATATATATGTTGGATATACAAGCACTACATTATCAAGACATCTTACTCTATAAATGTCTGAACATTTGTCCATTGCTAGACATTTACACCAACATTCCTGTCTACATTCACAGTACAGAAAGAAACTGAATGATAACACAACTATCTTACACCAAGAAAATAACAAATTAAAACTACAGATCCTTGAAGCAATCTACATTAAAAAATTGAAGCTGACACTTAATAGAATCAGCTACAAATACTGTAATAATGTTCTAAAATGCCTATAAAAAGAACAGTTTTCACTTTAATGCATGCTTGACCATGACATCCCAACACAAAAGAAAAAATTCCATTGTGGAATTCCATTGTTCTTTCGAGTTCTAATAAACACTAAAGCATAACTGTCACTCGTTGCATTTAAACACACAAAGAAAAAATTCAGTAATGATAACCACACAGTTTTTTGCCTTACCAGTTGCACCCCTGATGATGATCTCAGAAAGAGATGGAAAGTATATGGGAAATAAAAGTGATTTTCACCATTACAGTGCATTTCTTGCATCATTTGATTGTAATACACAGAAAAATATCCATAAATATGAACGGATTATGCTAAAAATAAGCTGACATAATGTTTGTAATTTATTTAATCAGATATATATTTTTATATATTATATATGTATTATATAATTCTTTTTGTATGGCGGTTACACATCACATCACCCTAGACTATTTCAAACATTCAGTTTTCCAAAGAATGCCAGAAAGTAGACAAAGAAATTCTGCCTACCACAATGGTTCTTGAAAATGACTAAGACAGTCAAAAATACTTGAATAATACATGAACTTCAGACAGTTTATTCGCAATTTCTACTACAATACTCAACACCATATCCAAAATATGAAAAAATATACAGATAAACCTTGTTAGCTGCTTGCTTTAAAAAAAAAAAAAAAAAAGAAGAAAAAAAAAAAAAAAAAAAAAGAAAAAAAAAAAAGAAGAAAAGAAAAAAAGAAAGAAAAGAAAAAAAAAAACAAAAACAAATCACACTGGATTGAATGAGTACTGTCTAAAGATCAGGTATACATTTAATTCTTTATTTTCCCCTACACAATATACAAACTATTGTTTCAATTTTAAAAAATGCCAAATTGATCAAATTTATTCATCATAAATCATCAAGAAGAATTATTGAAGAACCTGTATCTAATTAAATTTGGTTAATCGAAAAATAGGTTTTTATAACATTATTTTTTCTGGCTAAGATTAGACTTAAACAAAATAATATTCAAATAAATACTGGTTAAATATCTTTAGATCTTAAATTCATAACAACTAAATTTATAAAATCACAGATTATAATTTTAATTATAAGTATTCAATATTTTCTTCAGCTAGGCAGGTTTTAGTTTTCTTACCAAAATGTTTGTTCATTCATTTTTATTTCCTTCTGTCAAATCATCATATTTATATTTTACTTCAACTTTTTTTTTAATCATTTCACCCTAAGCATAGCAATAAAATGACTAAGATGCAAGGGGTTACCGAGTGTGGGAGAATATAAGAAAAAGGAAACACTATTAAGGAGAAGAAACTTCTTCAGTGCTTATACACACTATGGTATTCTCAGAATCCCTTGTACAACCACATTTCTGTGCCTCCACTTTTCTCTTCAACTGAAGAAATTGTCCAGCATTCATTGCCATAGAAGAGGATAGGTATTACATAGCAGCTCAGCACTCTTTTTTTCTAATGAAATTCTCCCATTTCTTAATACTTTTCTTAGCTTTCAGAAGGTATTTTTGCTATTCCAATACATGTTCACATTTCAGTGTTGCATTTTCCATCCTCTGTTAAAATACTTACAAGATATTTAAACTTCTGTACTTGCTTTGATTTTAACATCTCCAATTTGTAATCTACATCTTGTGCTTTTTCTCTAAGTGACAACCATAGATTCTGTCTTCTTACAGTTGATAGTCCTTTCTTCTTGCTTTCCTTTACTACCTTCTCTCTGAAATCCTATAGTTTTCTTTGTGTCAGTGTCATCTGCATATTTTTTTTTTTTAAGCGTTTCACCCCAAGCAAGGCGGGAAGCCACTAGGATGCAAGGGGTTACAGGAAATAGCAAGATCAGATAGGAGTGATAGAAGAAAGGATGAGGATAGTGGATAGATCAAGGCAACTGCAGTTGTCGATTGACATTACACTTGAATAGCTGGAGATTATAGCTCGCAGGGAAACAGGAGAAGGGAAGGGAGTTCCACAGGCGAGAGGTGCGAGACATGAAGCTATTAGAGTAGAAGAGACGGCTACATTTAGGAGTTTCGACAGTGAGGGAGTGAGAGCGGGATGCCAGCCTATAGGGCGCTGGAACTCATGACGTCTGGGAACTAGCGAATGCAGCTCCTCGGAGCAATTTCCATGAAAGTATTTGTAGAATCTTATATTGTCAAGATGACACCCACTGATAAAAAATCCCAGTAGGCTCTCCAGCTTCTTGAGGATAGTCTTACTGTAGAGGTTGAATAAAGCAAACCATGAACACTTAAATAAAAAATTTATCAACATCCAACTGGCTTTCAAGTATTGCATATTTACAGATATTTTACATCAATCATTTATTGTATTTTATTGTGGCTTAATGTACCTAAATATAAAAGATTGATTTGTTTTTTTTACTGCTTATCAAACTTTTGAAGGTTATTTAAAGCCAGAAAATATTTTTAAGAATTTTTTTGGAGATAATGACTTTACTGATACAAATCCTACTAATTAACCCATAGCTGTGAGGAGAGAAGAGATGGATTCATACCTTTCTCAAGGGTATTTGCACATAAGTAAATATAACAAACCTGGCTGGAATTGGAACTTGATTGACTTCAAATTTCAAGCTATTATCCATTACAACACCCTTATATCCAAGCTTACAGCACCCAGTATTTCCAAAGTTTTACCCATCTGACCAGACTGAATATTGCTTAACTGTGATGATCATACATGAACTTGTGAACTTACTTAAAAGCAACAACACTGGGGATACATTGTCGACCATTTTGAACTTCGAGAATCTCTACAGCCCCAGACACAGCATGGTAAACACCAACACAAGAATATGTAGTACCTGCAAAAAGAATAGGAAATATTTTATTCCCAAACAGAATTATTTTTTTATAAACATTTTCAGAGTTTTGTTATTGAAGTATGTTCTAATACCATATGAATGCAGGTTACAACATGTAGAATAAATAGGATTATGTGCTACACACACACACACACACACATATATATATATATATCCATACAAGAAATAATGCTTGCACCTTCAATTTAGTAAATTTTAAAATCAGTACAAAATCATATCCCCTGACAAAGAGGAAGAATAATGGATCAATCAAATCATTCTATTTTATTGTTGAAAAGTCTTAAGACAAAAAGCCTCTAAAAAGAAATATAAATAACTTTGGCAACAAAAACTTCAGTAGATGCACACACTTCAGTATACCAATTGATTTCCACTTAAACTTTTTGTATTTTTAATAACCTTTTCATCTTTTTGGTGTATATGTGTC